TAAATGTTTAAAATTGATCTAAGTTAATGCACCAACTGATTCCCTATACTCCCTAACAGGTAACCATAATTTCCCTATACTCCCTAACAGGTAACCATAATTTAATTTTTCAGAAAACAGTAGAATTATAAAACACTCATTTAAAACTAAGCAAATATAAAAATTGGATTTATTTTTTTCAATTTACCTTTAAATTATATAAATTTCCGTATAGGTACACTACTCAGAGACTGAAGTCTAAAAAAATATTTTAGTTTTGCAACACTGTGTGCTGAAATAAGATAAATCAAATTTACCAGTATAATAAGGCACTGGTAGTAGGGTCACTATTATTAAACAATACTATTATTAAACATTTGTGATTCACACAGCCTGTATTAGGATTTCTTTGATCAGTTGTTTTATTTATACCAAACTAAATAACATTAATACTTTCCTTGATGACGTTTTTCGTTACATTATTTTTAATGTTATATTTTTGATGTTTGACTAGTTTGTAGTTTGATGTTTTGACTAAGCGTTTCTTACATATTTCACTGTGTTTCTCTTTGACACTAGTTATATGTAACTGTAATATAAAAGAGTTTACATTCATAGTGTTGCAGTTATTTTAAGTAATAATACTTTTGTTACAAAATTTGTTGCTAAGTTATTACATAATCAAATAAAGGCTCCGAGTTTATAAAAAAACTTTATTTTTTTTTGAGTTTGCGTTAAGCGTATCCTTAAAAAAAAAATAGAAAAAAGCAAAAAAAAGTACAGGAAACAGTATTTTTTTAAATGAATGATAAAATAAATTAAAACGGAAACTGGAGGAAATTAAAAAATTACGCCAAAAAAAAAACTCCACATAATTAACTTTAATTGGAGATTATTTATTGGTTTTACTGGTTTGAATTCTTTTATGTTTTTTTAAAATGCTTTTAATATGTTATACTAATTTTAAATCTTTTCTTATTAAATTAAAATTATAACCAAAAAGCAAATTGTGAATCTTAATTTAGTTTCAAAAGTTTATTGGTGTAAAGTTTTTTTAATACCAGGAGATCAAAAAAAGTGATTCATAATGGTGAGCCTTGGCAACATTATTAGATTTTATTCATTTTGTTGCCAATTTTATTAAAAAGTTTACCAGTTGATTATTTGAACTTTAATTGCAAAATGTAATTCCAATTGATAGATTATCTGTCGTTTTTATGCTAATACGAAAATGATATATATATATATATATATATATATATATATATATATATATATATATATATATATATATATATATATATATATATATATATATATATATATATATATATATATATATATATATATATAAAGTAAACAAATATTTATTTAGTTCATTAGTCAAATTACTTTTTAATTAAAAAAGTTCATATTGTATTCAATTAAACGGCTTTACCTATAAAGTCTATTCTTTCAAGATTTTATATACCCAAGTATATTTTTATAAGATATTATACCCAAGTATATTACCTTCATAAAAACCGCAATATAACAACAAAAACAATAACAAAAACGTATATAATCTACCAAATTATACAAGGGAAAAATTTACCGAATTTCCGAGAAAGACCGAGTGAATAAGTACATTACAAGAATTTTAACTTCATATTTATTAATGCCTTTTTTTGGTATTATTTGTTCACGCTTGTACGTTCTGAAAAATTTTTATTCAGACTAATATTTTTATTTTTCCGATTTTAGCTGAATTCAAGTTTCATAAACGGGCATATTAACGTTTTTTTTGAAATGTCACCATTTAAAACAAAAATTAAGATATTATATATATTTAGATTAAGAAAACACAATTTAAACGTTAAATTTTGAATTAAGTTTGAAATAATTGTATAAAGGGTTGGCGTTGGAGAGTGCTTAGTCCGTTAGCCTTATAATTAAGGCCTTTATACAAGTTAAGTGTTGGTTAACGCCCTAAAGAAAATAGTCTTCGATTCGAGTTCGGGATATAAGGAAATAAAAATATTATGAAAAAGTAGGTGTAAAAATGATGCACAACAACTAAGATTTTGATGTTAAAGAAATTTTATAATTCATTTTTAACATCGTTTTTAAACACTAATTTAAAATTACGTTGTATATTGAAAATCCCATTCACGAAAACTTTTGGTTAAATAAAGCGGAATAAACAATCCCCAAAGAAGTTATTTTCTCAGTAAACTACAAATATTTTATTGTTTATTATTTTAATAAAAAATAACCGAGAAAAAAAATATCATACGAGCAGACTAGCTGCAAGCCATGTCTCCTTAACTATTGTCCACAATAATATTTATAAAAATACAATTTTGGCAAGGTCATTTTATCAAATTTTAATCTAAAAAACACTGAAATTTTGTAATAATTTAAAAGTTTAAGAATTTTATCAGATGAAATTCATCTCACTGGATATATTACTAGATGTAACTCGTAAAATCTAGTGGATTTCGTAAAATCTAGAAGATCTTTTTAACTACGCTTATTAAACTCTTTAATTCTCAAAATTTATTTATTTTTAAAAATTTTAATTTAATATAAAAATCATTTATTAAATTTTAAACTTATTTTTATTGAAAAGTCATTTTAAGACAAAACTCAAAAAAATATATTGTGAAACATTTTAAAAAAAAACCCCGCAGACATTCCGTAAAATAAGTTTCAAAATGACAGCTTTAATTTGTTTGCCTCAGCTTCTCACATGGAAGTGTCCATAGAAACGTGTACAGAAACTCGGCTTGTCAATCCCCATGCTTCAAATAATGCAATATGGAATAAAAACATACTTTGTTTGTAAATCAACATATCATATGTCTTTACCAGGTTCTTAAATTAAATGATATTTATCTTTGTACTGAAACTTTGATTTTGTTTCAAAGAGCGAATGAGTATTTTTTTAATGGGTAGTTTCATGTACCTTTAACAATAAAAAATTATGTTGTTTTGAAGTCAACTTCCGCTTACGTCACTGAAATATGGCAAATGTTTAATTTAAAACAAAAATACATAGAAACCAGGCTTTTTACACTAAATGTATGTAATAACCGGAAAACCAAATTATTAATCAGATTTCTTAAAGTTTGTGGGTAAGGTATGACTTGTATTTATTGCTTGTAAAATGTTTTATTTTAAAAATGTAAACCCTTCAAAAAAAAAAAAAAAAATTTAACATTGTACTTTTTAGCAATACAAAGATGAAGTAATTGCTTCACTTTTGTTCAAGTGACAACACAAAAATACGCGCGTCAGATACGCGCGTTCAAAGTAAGCCAGTTCACGTGTGAACAAATTTATATATTTTAGTTGATCAACACAATTTAAGAGCGTAAAACCCGTAAAAATAAAAATAAACTAAAAGATGTAATAATTACTAGAAACATTCATTCTACTGAATTAAACACTGGGGGGGTACAGTTACTTACGGTGAGACAACAAATAAACAGTTGTTTTTGTTTCAAAAAGTTTAAATAAATTTCAAAGTCTGACATATGTTTACTACCATGGAAAAACAAATGTAGCAAATTACTTTTATTTGATTGGTCAAAAATACAAGATCCTTAACAAATTTTTTTAAAAAAAGTTTCTTAAAAAGCAAATTAATATCTGGTAGGTGTTTTCAATCTTGTTCATTTTTTATTATTCTCTTTTGCTTACTCTTTAGAGCCGCTCTTCTTTTAACGTTAATTTTTTTGAATTAAGAACATCAAAACCTAAGGCATTTAGATTGAAAAAGCAAAAAACATTACAATAATTTTGCAATGATCTTAGTGTTTTATGAAGAATAAAATAATAAAAAATATAAAGATTTTTCTTTGTCATTTAAAGTATTTTATCACGACAGTTGCATTACAGCGTTACATCGATTTGTTGTATCGAAACATCGATTTGTTATATCGTAACATCGATTTGTTATATTGCAACACTAGTTTTGAGCAATAGCTCACAAAGTATAAACAAAAATATTTAAAAAAATAAGCATAAAAGACTTTATCAAAGTTAAAACTTTGAACTAACAGTTTGATGTTTTTTAATACCCAAAATGCTTTAAAACTCCATTTCAGTGATATCAAAAGCTAAAAGCAACGTGAAATAACTGTTTAGTTATAAATTAAATGCGAATAAAATGATTTTTCTTATATAATGTGCTTGAGTTTTTTGAAAATGTCAAATCATGTTAAAATTACAGCTTACTGGTAAGATAGAACAAACTGTTCAAAACACCAAAATTAGAAATTTCATATATCTGCTATATTGCGCAGAAAAGAACGTACGGTGAGGTTGCCTGCTTTTGTATAAAGCCTGCTTTTATACATTTATGCGTTAACTAAAATTTGTAAAATAATATTTGTTTTGAATTATATTTAGAACTAAAAGAAATCTAGTTATAGGTAATAAAGAATCAACTTTAAGGTAACCGAAAATAAACTGCATTTCATTTTATCAAGACCGATTCATCATTGTCGTAGCTATGGATTATTATTTTATTTGTAACGTATTTATGTCATAGCAATGAATTTTTAATAAAGAATGTTTGTTAATTGTGATAATAACACAATAACATTATAATAGTTCTTATTATTTTATTAGATTCTAAAACTAAAAAAATAAACTAATCTAAAACTTTGATAAAACGCAATAAGCTATACTAAAGAATCTTATATTGCTTTAATTTTATATATTATTTTGATTTGGAAAAATACGCCGACCAGGAAATAAGGTCATAATTTATTGGCGAACCCAAATTACAAAAAAAAAAAAGAAGTTTTGCGCTGTGTTTGAACCTTTGATTTGTGTTAATTAGCGCAAACGAGCAGCAATTGAAGTCTCCAGTTATCTTCGGTTTAATCAGCTTGTAAACGGTTTTGCAATTTTTTCATTCTTGTTTTCAATAGCGACACTTCTACAACTAATTACTCATTACAGTCAATTAGAGTTTGTCTTTTGAAAGTATTGTAACATCAATCGCCGCCGATGTATTGGTAAAAAACAATAGATTTTTTTAATACAAGACAATCAGTTGCGCAGTGTTCAATGGTCATGTTATTGTCATTGTGTGATTGGGTTATATTTAGTCGCTTTGGCAGTTTAGCGCATTAGAATCTGACTAGCATTAAGTTTTAAGGAGTGAGCAGACAACATCAATAAAGGTAAGATTATAAAAACGAAACCTAAAGTCGTTGTAAAAACAGAGTTTAAGTAGTGCTTAAAAAAACAATTTTCTAAAATCTTTTAACGCAATACTTAGAGGAAGGATTTAGTTTTATATTATCTAATAGTATTTTGAATTTGCAATGGTATTATATCAGTTGAATTTATGTAAAAGCTTTGTAAGGATTTGCGAAATACGAAAAATGTTAGTAAAGTAAAGTCGTGTTCACACTTCGTATTTATAATCTTCTGCTGTTTTTTATACAAATTTTTAAACAAAAAAAGTCTAAAAATTTTAAATTAAATTTTATCTTTGTTGCTTTTCAGGTTTTTCTTGAAAAAGAAAAAGATTTATCTTGTGCGCGATGACCATGTCCGATAGCCCCTTGGATAGTCCATTAAACATGAATTCTGGAGCAATAAAGTCAGAGAGTAAGTTTATTTTTTTAAGAGCAACAGCTTCATATTACAATCTTTAAAACAATGTTTTGCAAAATATTTCTTTCAATCTTTAATATATTCTTGCAATATATTGATTCAAAATTAAAAAACTGTAATGATAATTTTAAAACAGAGGAAGCATGCAGAATATCCAATTATTAAGGAACACATTCTAAAAAATAATAAAAAAAGTACTTTTTTTTTCGGAAATTTTGCTATAGCGTTTAAAATTTATAAAAATTTTGTAGAGAGGTAATGAGATAGCAATTAAGTCTAGCAATTAAAAGTGTTATTTTTATATTTCGCGACCACATCAATTTTTTTTATTGTTGCAATAAAAACAGAAATAGAAATGGTGACGGAACTGTTAATTTTTTTTTAAACTAATTGTCCAAAAATAGTGAAAATCGTTACACACTATAAATATACAAATTCTAAATAATTTTTTAGCTATTATTTTAATATAACAACAAAACCACGACATTTGATTGAATTTTCATGTTTTTATATAATAGTGACCAAAAACAAAAGATTCACGTAAATTTACAGCGCCTAGGAAATAATGTTTCCATGACAATTAATAGTAGGTCTTCTTTATGAGTGTTATAAGTAATCATTGTCTTTTATACGCTTAAAAAGTTAAGTTAATTGTTAGATAATAAGTTATGAGAAAAGAATTTTATATTGCAAAAAGTAGTTTAAATAAATACAACAAAAATCTAAAGTAAATTTAAAAATTTTAAGATTTTATATCGTTAAATATTCTTATTCTTTTTCCTTTTGATACCAACGTGATACCAATCTTATTTTTTCCCTTTTAACCTTTTGATACCAACGTGATACCAATCTGATGAATAATAAATTTTTCTTAAAGATATTTTTTTAATCTCTCAATACTGAATGAAATTCAAAAAAAAAAATTTTTTTATTAAAATAATAAAATTTTATGAAACAAAATTATAATATTTTGTGAAAAATAAAACTTCTTATTAACATATTTTTTTATAATAAAAATAGTTTATATACTCTTGTATATCTGCATTAAAAGCTCTTAAATAACAAAGCATTTAAAGTATGTATTTAGAGCATTTTAATAATAAAGGCTAGAACTTAGTTCTTTTTTTTACTTTCATTCGTAAATGCTTTTTTGTCACTCTTGTGAGTTTTATTTAATAACAGTTATTTGTTCTTGTTTTTTTAAGAACAAATTTATCTAGACAAATAAAGTTTTGAAATAAACAAAGCATTCAATTATAAAATAATTTCAGTTAAAAAAACTAAAGATATGAATAATAATTCAAAGCTTTGCCACTCCATCACGAGTAGATGAAGGTTGTTTTGTCAACAAAATGAAAATGTATGGAAGGCAAAAAAATGCTTAACCCATAATGAAGCGTATCACCGTTACTTTTTAAAAAATCAATTAATTTTCAAATGAATTCAATTACAACCTATTTACTTTTGATTTTTAAGTTATCATTCTAGAAATCAATACAAAAAATTGTCCATTTTAAGACTTAAAATAACTAATTTTTATTTACATATGCAATTAATTAATAAACTATAAAATATAATGAAAAATAATGAAAAAAAAAACTAGTATATTTGTAGAAAATTTAATGCAAAACCATTTGCCTTTCCTTCTCAAACCTAAAAAAATAAATTTAATTTTGTTTTGGTTTAAGATCTATCGTTAATAATGTGCACAAAATTCAAAAGCTAGCAATATTTATAATAAAAGTACAACATTTATATGAAAACTTTTTTCTATTTAACTTTTGTTTTATTTTGAATTTTCATTATATTCTTTTTACATAGCTCCACCTAAAAGACGGCGTGAAAGGACCACTTTTACAAAAGCACAACTTGACGTGCTGGAAGATATGTTTGGAAAAACTATGTATCCGGATGTATTTATGAGAGAAGAAGTAGCTAAAAAAATTAATTTGGCTGAAGCCCGAGTACAGGTACGGCTGTTTTTGCAAAATAATAAATATGCAAAAAAACAACAACAAAGGATTAAATTATACACAAAAATTAATATAAGATGTTAAATTATACCAAAAACCCCTAAACTTTATCAATATGTTTTAATCATTTGACTATGTGTACATAGTTTGTCATTGAAAACTTATAATTTTTTTGTCTTTTTAGGTTTGGTTTAAAAATCGACGTGCAAAGTTTCGACGCTCTCGTGAAAACCCTGGTCGACATTTTGATAATAATAAGTATTTAGGGCGTGAGAAATTAATGCCTGAAGATCTCATTCGAACCTTTCCTAAAAGTAGTGGTGGCACTCCACACTCTTACCCAAATACAAGCAATTATCCTCCGCTATGGAAATATCCAGGTGCAGACCACAGTCCACCATATGCAGGAAATAATATAATTGAAGAACCGGTTTATAGACAATCAAACCCTTACGCTCCCATCTCACCTTATGAATATAATTTTCCTAGTGGGAGACCACCATACTTTACTCAGCCACCTTATTATAGTCCGTCTGCACCTAGTCAAGATTATCTTTCAAATTCCGTTTCGGCGCCATCAAGCACAAATAGTATATCAAGTTTATCTTTTTCGCAACATGACACTAAAAATGAATTAAATCTTCCTGCGTCTTATTGGAGTGGAGCAGGGTATATGGGTGCGAATATGTAGTTTAATTATAAAGCACCTCAAAAATGGAAATCTATTTCAGATAGACACAACAAAATTGATTTAAAAATCAAACAGTTGTACATAGAAAAGCTTTTTTTACAATTCATTAAAAAAAGATATCCTTTAGATTTAAGTCTAAGACCAATGAACCAATCGATTGCGTAAATTACAAAACTAATTGGTTGTGTCTAGAAAACAATTGTACAGATTGGTAGTTTCAAAATATTACTACTGGACTAAAACATTAGAACAACTCACAAGTTGTTTTATTTGCATTTTTAAAATATATATACCATGTTTTAAATTTTTATCGTAGAACTATTATGCAGTTATTTTTGTTCAACTTTTTATTTATGTATAAATCGATATGACACTGCTATATTACCAGTGAAAATGTCGGTTTAGCAAAATTTCAAGCCTTTATGAAAAGGAAAATGGCTGAAACAATGATTTTTTTAACAATTTTGTTTTAACAAATTTATTTTGTTAATAAAAAAAATGTAGCAGCGATCAAAAATGGAAAAATATATGTTATTGAAACAACTTTTTAATTTTCTATTTATCAATTAACTGATTTAACGTATAAACCTGTTTTAGATTTTTTTTGTAAATATATTATTACTGTAATAGAAATTCTATATTTTTAGGACAAGTAAAATGTCAAAACTCGCTGTTTTTGTTATCTTTTCTTGCTGAGACTTGAGAATTTTTTACTTTAACAATAAATTAATCAGCACTAAACTGTTTTAAAAACTTAAAATAGTCTTAAATGTAAAAACTTCGATTTCAAATTCACACAATCGAGTGGTAATAAAATTCGTTAAAAACTAAAATTATAATAAAGAAATGGCTCACGCGTTGTAACATCGTGTTTATGCATTTAACTGTATAAAGTTGAAAGCTATAGAATACAAAATGGTAGTACTACAACGGCATTAGGTTAACCATGGTAAGACAAAGATATCTTATCACCGTTAACACGGTTTCATATTTAAAGGTGTAGAGAGAGAATTTAAGATCACATTTTTAGGGTGTAAAATTGCTTTTCACTTTTTTGTTTTTTTTTCTACTAAATTTTAGCACACTCTTTAATGTCATCTTTTTTATTAGGAAAATTACTATTGTTTGTTTTGAGGTTCAAGGAAGGGTAATGAGGGATATATTCAAACTTGATTTAATAACATATTAAAACTTTTGATTCAACGAAATAAAGAACAATTTAAAAAAATGACAACGTAAAATTTCAAAAATTTCTAGTTTATACAAAATATTATAGAACGATCTAATCCTATCGGCGCCAACTTGAAACATCTATTCTATAATTTTGATTTATCTTGACATTTCTGCTATTGTGTAGAGATCGGTAATCATAATTAGAAAATGGATAAAGATCTAGCAACCAAATGCTTAAATATTTTTAAGATAAAATTAAACTGGTCAAGTAAACAAGGGATTCGATAAATAAAACGACTAATTTTAAAATGTTTTAATTTTCCTCAATTATCATCGAGTTATCTTTATTAACAATTTAAAAAAAAAATTATATTTATGAAATGTTTAAAAAAAAAAAACATGCATTTTTGCCTTTTAAAACCTTTTAAACATCTAATCTTCTTTAATTTTCTTTTATCATATTTAACAAAAAAAAGCAGTGATTTATAGAGACTCTTGTTATAAAATTCACAATCTTAATTTGAAATTGGGAAGAAAATTGGTTTTAAGTGTACATTGATCTGATCCTATTAACGCACATTCGCATATTGATTTCCATATATATACAAACATTGTCCACACCATTTTTTCCGAAAAATACGTCTTTTTTGTTAATCTTTAGAGGGAATTTAAGGGCTTTTTTTAGTTTCAAATTTAAAAAACAAAGTTTTGATTATATATATATATATATATATATATATATATATATATATATATATATATATATATATATATATATATATATAAACTGACCAAAAACCGACCATGATTCTTTTATCAGATCTTTATAAATTTATTCTATTTAAACAGAAAATTTTTCTTTAAACGAATTTTTAAGAACTTTTTTTTTATAATTTTCAAATTTTGTAATCAATATATATATATATATATATATATATATATATATATATATATATATATATATATATATATATATATATATATATATATATATATATATATATATATATATATATATATATATATATATATACATATGTATATGTATATTTGTGCTAGAAAAATAAAATAGAATTTTCAAACAAACATTGACCGATAAATTAAAAAAACAACAACAACGAAAACAATGTTGACTAGAGTCAGATAGCGTGATCCGTATGAATCCTTTTCTGTTTAAGTTAATTAACCTTAGGCTTTATTACAAATTTTTAATCTTGTTAGACTCTTAAACACTATACTGCTTTAAAAATACAAATGACTTGTTGATGCATTATTTTATTTTTAAACTCAGCGGAAAAAAAAATTATTTGCATATGCTTACAAAGGGACATTAAAAAACAAAACAACTTTTTATAACAACGCCACCAAGTTAAAGAGACGTTAGTTTATTGGAACCATAGTGCAAAAGCGTCAATCAAATTCTCCTACAGATTCTATTGATATTTTCTACTGAAGCCTTAGTTAGTAGTACTATTAGAAAGATTGCAATTAGTAACAATGAATACAATGGTTGTATCTTCCGATCGCAATCGAAAACGCTGTGATTGACGTCATTCTATAAAAAATAACTATAAAAGAATTCCTTCGAGCAGACTTTTTGAAATTTATTATCTTTGAGAACAAAAAACGTAGCATTTTACAAGATTATGATGGTTTCTTTGCGCTGGGTAATTGCCGTTGCTTAGCATAATTTGGTTGCTAAGCATTCTTTTTGATGTATTACTTAACGTTGTATCAATAAGTTTGACTTATTTAAAAAACAAAAAATTACTTCACAGTACGCAAAGGAAATTCCATTAGTAATAAAGTTTGTTTTTGAGAAAAAATTTGCATTTAAAAACTCACAAACAATATTTGAAATAAAAATGAATCGGACATTGTGCATTGGCAAGGATGTGAACAAAATATTTCATGGGAATGATGTTGATTACAAAATTTGAAAATTATAAGAAAAAAATTCTTAAAAATTCGTTTAAAGAAAAATTTTCTGTTTAAATAGAATAAATTTATAAAGATCTGATAAAAGAATCATGGTCGGTTTTTGGTCAGTTTAAAACTTTCAGTTCAAAAAATCCACATAAAATATTAAGACATGAATGACTTTGTTATCCAACTTTACATTTTTACGTGGCTTGTCTTCGCCGGCATAAAAATAATGTAGCGCTGTGTTTCAGTCGTTGCCTTATATTTAACGCATTTTGATCCAACTTATGTTTTAAACATTTTTGGTTCAGCGAGTAAATGAGTAAATATAAATTGAGATTGGTGAATAGATTTTCATTTTAGTGGGTAAAATGAGACATTCACAGGAACGCCCGGGAGAAGGCAAAGAGGAAATAATTGCTAACAAGGTCGCACAGCGATTTTAAAGGAGGTGTGAAAACAAATAGGGTTTTGGCAATTATGGTCAAAAATTTTATTTTGTCTGATAAAGACCTTAAATGAAAAAAAAATAAAGGTCTTCGTAGGCTTATATTTGCCGACTTCCAACTAAATATTCAAATTTGCCGACTGACTTTTAAAATTAAGACTTTAAAAACTAAGTTTATGGAAAAAGAAATTAAAGTTTCCACATTTATCAATTTAAGTTGTACCGGCTAAATAGAATCAATTGCTTACGACGTACAATAAATGTGTAAAACATCTTATTTTGTTAAAAACCTAATTCAATCTATTGAATTAGGTTTTTGACAAAATAAGATGGTGAATGGCTCTACAGTTAGGACGAAAGGTTGTATCATTTTCAGATTGAAATCAAAGGTCAGGTCGGGGTATACAACTAGGAAGATTGTTAGTTTAAAAACTATCCATCCATTCAAAAGAAGAAAATGTCGTTAAAGTCTACTTTAATAACAGTAATGAAGTTAACGTTAAGGCAAAAGTCAGAAAAACATTTTACGAGTACCAGCAAAAACTACAGCAAAACCAAAACTGTCAGCAAATTAGTAACATCTATAAAGTTATCAACCAGCAAAGCAGCAACCATTTCTTGAAAGTTATCTCAGGATAGCATCAACACTCAGACACCTTCATTTTCTGGTATATTTAGATCAACTAACTAAGAAGTTGTTAAATTTAAAGAAAAAATGAAGAAAACACTACATTTAGATAGCTGATTACCGCATTTTGATGGTAAACATATTAGTCACCAAGATTACCAAGTGTTAGCATACAAGTACCAGACGAAAAAGCAGATGTTTTTGTTAAAGATATAACAGCTATTCTTGATAAATACAATTTATGGAAGAGTATACAGGTGATTGTAACGGACACTACAAATGTAAATACTGAGAGAAGGAATGAGATTGTCAGTCAGTTACAAAGAGGTTTTACTAAAAAGAAACTAAAAGAACCACAATTCATGGTTGTTAACATCATGTTTTTAACCAAGTCGTTTGCTTATTAAGGGATGAAAACGCAGTGAAAACAACACGTTGCCCTATTTTGAATATCAGTTTATCCCGGAACTTGTAAAAAACTGCGAACAGATCAAGGAAAAGTTCAAGAATGGTAAAAAAGTTATTACTAAAACAGCAGGATGGCGTGATGATATGAAGTTTTTATTTCATTTATCTCGGGTATTCCGCTTTTTGAAGAATCTGGAGTGTTTTCTAAAGTGAAGTTTCAGAAAATGATAAAAATTAAATAATACCCGAGCAATACCTGCTATACCTGATTCCCGAGCAATAATAGTTCTTTCGGCATTCTTCTATCAGAAAAAAGAAACTACTCGACATTTGTTGATTTATCTATTACAGAGGGGCGGACCATTGATTTACTCACAAAATGTACAATGCAGATGATAATCGGAAGTTATGTAGCAGCTTGTATGGTCACAAAAAAGTGTTAAATTCAATGAAAAAGTTTTTGAATCAGGAACCATCGAGACTGGAAATTTTCAGAACAAACCAGTGAGCAGAACAAGCAATCAAGTGTCTTCAAGATCTCTTTGATATCTGTAAAAAAAAGACAACCTCCAGTTGAGATTTATTTTGTCTAACAAAGCATAAGAACTGAATATTATGTTTTAACTAAGCTGAATAATACATAACACTTTTTCAATATATTCAGTAGCTTTTCGTACTTGTAGAATTGTTATTTAGGTTCGTAATTTAACATTATTTGGTAATTTAGAGTGTTATGATGTAACAATAAACTCTTAAATCCTTAAAAACTAGATGATAACTCTCCAATTAAAAAAATTAGAATTAAAAAATAACAATCATAAAATTGTTTTAATTTTTATCCATACGCATATATGGTAAATTTGAATTTTTGAATTGTGGGTGACTTTTTTCAATAAGAGAACCAAAATAATGTTTATGTAATTATATATATATATATATATATATATATATATATATATATATATATATATATATATATATATATATATATATATATATATATATATATATATATATATATATATATATATATATATATATATATATATATATATATATATATATATATATATATATATATATATA